ATCTTTAATGTGCAGCAGGCTTAGACCAAAAAAATGAATCCATAACATTTTGAATATTTGAGAATAATTGCTAAAGGGTCAAATGTTTTCATATCCCAACCATTTTTTAGCTCTTCCCCAGTTTGAAGTCTCAGGCTATGCGTTAGCAGGTCTGTTTATTACAGATTGAATGCAGCCTACGTGAAAGGGATTGGTAAAGAACATCTGTGGCCAGTGTCTTACCTAGAGAACAGCATGGCTGCCTCCACAGAAATTAATGAGGCTTTACAGCAAAGTGGAGATTTCCCATATGATTTAGGATGACACCTATGTCAGCTTTGACATGATATGCCTGCCCTTATAGCTTGCAAACCATTGCACTTAGCCGAGTCACTGACCTCGTTTTAGTGCAATAGGCCGTTACGCAGATGATCCACAGCCTTAACCACTGGTCTAAACAAACCACAGTGGGCTGGGAAGTGAATAAAAATGCATAAAAATGAATTTTGTAACTTCATTTTCAGTTTATAAAATAACATGAAAAAAACCACAAAAGGAAACAAATTGAGATCCTTAAAATGTATTATGGATTTAAAAAAAAAATTATCAAATCAAATGTATATTCCTCCGAGGTCTTAACAAATGAGATAAACAGCCCAGTTTATATAATAAGAAAGCTCAAGTATTACGTAACCATCCTTGTCCGACTGAAAATAGAAATTTATTATGTGCGTTGCAATTCTTAGTTCTGTCTGTCTGCAAGTTCCACATAGCTGTGAAGTTCTCTGTTAAAGAGAAAATGTTTTGACATTTTCCTTGAAACCAGTTTATCCAATTCTAGGTTATGAATGTATAAAGATATAATTGATTGTATTAGTCGCCGAAGCTTTCCTCTATTGTACAGAATTTCTGGGTTGTTCCAAAAATCCAAAACTGTAGTCAGTAACTGAATCTGATAATATATAATTACTGTCATTGTTTTGGCCAAGAAGAAAATAGCAAAGATATTTCAAGTTGAGGAGAGAAAAACAGTTCTTTGGCGTTTTTTCAGATTCCGAGAAGATT